TAATTATTATTCTAATTATAATCTTACTTCTAATCTTTATAAAGCTTCTTTTAATAATCTAATAAACCTTTCGATTCTAGAGTAATAAAAGAAATTAAAATCTAAATACGTTATAATTACTTAAATAACTTATAATATTCTTTATTCTCTCGCGAGGGCTATTACGTATAAGCGATACTTCTTAATAATTAAAAGATATTATAATATTTAAAAGTATTATTTACTAGTAATATTTCGTACTCTAATAATAATTCTTTATATAAAATATTAAGAAAACGAGCTTAAATAAATTAGACTTAATCTTAAAAAAGATTTTAGTATATTAAATTAGACTAAAAGAGCTAATAGTACTTTATATAAAAACTTAGTTAATATTTATAATAATTATATTAGCGAAGATAACGAGCTTATAAAAAATACTTCGATAAATTTAATATTTATAAGTTTATTAAAATATATTATTAATACTCTATAATATATAAAGAAATAATCGATAGATTTATAATTAGAGAGAGTTAGTAATAATAGATTTAACTTTAAAGAAGAGATCTAAAATAATTTAAAAAGCGAATTTATTTATAAATAGTTAATAAGTTTAATTAGATAAAGATAAACTTAAGGAATTTAAAAGAATCGCGATAGAGTAGAATAGAAGAGTAACGGAGAGTTCGAGAGAAAAATGAATATAAAGTTTATTAAGCTTATTTAACGCGTTAAGATAAATATATAAATAAAGATAATTATAGAATTTTATTCTTATAATATTTAAAGATTTAAATTTTAGAATATTCTTTTATATTATAATTTTAAGAAGAAGAATAGAGACGCTTATAGTTTTAATTATTATTTTAATTATTACTATTAATAAGAAGATAAATAGCTATATTAAATTACTCTTTATATTTTCTCTCTCTTAATAAAGAAGAATAAATATATTTTATATATCTTAGTCGGATTATTCTATAAATATAGAAATTCTAATCGAAATATCTTATATATATATTATTTCATGGTATAATATTACAAATATACTATATCGTAAAATATCCCGCTAAGATTCCGAATCCATACTAGAAAAATGAAATGGTATTCGACTCTACTCATATCATACCCGGGTACGATATGATATTACTTGATATGGAATATTTTATAAGATATATTATATCTTTTCGACTAGTATTTAAGATTTTCTAATTTAGCTCTATCTTATTCTTTTATATATACTAATTTAAAAAAAAGATAATTTTTTTATAATTAAGTTAAATCGAACTTTATTTACTTTCTATTAATAAATATAATAGAATAAGATAGAGCTAAACTAGAAAATCTTAAATTTGTATATATAGTTAATTATTAATTCGTTAGATCTACGCTTTTTAATTAGATATCGCGAGTAAATAAATTAGCGTTCGTAATTATTAAAAATCTATAAAAATCTATATATAGAAGTCTTCTCCTCTAAGATAACTAGCTCTCTACGAATGCTATTACTTTATAATTTCGTAAATTATAGAGCTTAGTATACGCTTTCTAACGCTATAAAAATAATAAAGTTTAGTCTACTATTAGTAAATTAAATAAATATTTAAATATAATAGTTATAGTAGTTATATTAGACGCGTTTAGAATCGAATAATAATTCTTTTATCTATTTATTATTCTTTTACTATTCTACTAATTCTATTAATTTTATTAATTCTATTAATTCTATTAATTTCACTAATATAAATATAATCGTCTTCGATATCTCTCGTCTAATTAGAGCTCCTTACTAACGTCTCTAGATTACTTCTCGATAAATTAGAGCTCCTTACTAACGTCTCTAGATTACTTCTCGATAAATTCGCTATTATTAATAATCGAGGCCGTAAGCGAGCTTAATAGCTCTCTATTTACTACTACTTATAAACGCGTTAAAAGATTCTTAAAAAGAGTCTAAACGGATATATTCTCCTCTATATACTTCTTCTAAGTTAGCGATACTCGATTAGTCGCTTAATTAATACTATCTACTCTATTAGCTTAGTAATTTACTTAGTTAGATCGTTAGTTAATTACTTACTTATCTACTTAGTTAGCTACTTAGCTAGTTACTTAATTTAATACTCTATAAGAAGAGAAGTAAGAGAAGAAACTATAATAGGCAAATACGGAGAATATTACGGAGAATACTACGGAGAAATTAAGTGATAATAAGACTATTATCGTTAAGAATACGGCTTAGCTCTTTAAGATCCCACGTTATATACTCTTTACGATTCTATATTAAATTATTACTTAGTAAGCGAAGAATATTACTATAACTTAGCTTATTATCCCTACTGTATTAAGGAGTAAGAGAAGGAATTACAATAGATAAATGCGGAGAATACTACGGAGAATACTACGGAGAAATCAAGCGGCAATAAGGCTATCATCGTCAAGAACACGGCTCAACTCTCCAAGATCCCACGTTATATGCTCTCCACGGTTCTATATCAAATTATCACTTAGTAAGCGGAGAATATTACTGTAACTTGATCTATTATCCTCACTGTATTGAGGAGTAAGAGAAGGAATTACAATAGGTAAATGCGGAGAATACTGCGGAGAAACCAAGCGGCAATAAGGTCTTCAGCACCAAGAACACAGCTCAGCTCTCCAAGATCCCACGTTATATGCTCTCCACGGTTCTACATCAAATCATTACTCAGTAAGCGGAGAACATTACTGCAACTTGGTCTATCATCCCCACTGCATTAAGGAGCAAGAGGAGGAACTACAACAGGCAAATGCGGAGAACACTGCGGAGAAACCAAGTGGCAACAAGGCTACCATCGTCAAAAACACAGCTCAGCTCTCCAAGATCCCACGTCACATGCTCTCCACGGTTTCACATCAAATCATCACTCAGCAAGCGGAGAACACCACTGCAACTTGATTTATCATCCCCACTGCATTAAGGAGTAAGAGGAGGAATTACAATAGGCAAATGCGGAGAACACTACGGAGAACACTACGGAGAAACCAAGCGGCAACAAGGCTACCATCGTCAAGAACACGGCTCAGCTCTCCAAGATCCCACGTCATATGCTCTCCACGGTTCTATATTAAATCATCACTTAGTAAGCGGAGAACACCACTGCAACTTAGTCTATCATCTCCACTACATTAAGAAGTAAGAGGAGGAACTACAATAGGTAAATGCGGAGAACACTACGGAGAACACTATGGAGAATACTGCGGAGAAATTAAGCGGTAACAAGGCCATTATCGTCAAGAACACGGCTTAGCTCTCCAAGATCCCACGTCATATGCTCTCCACGGTTTCATATCAAATCATTACTTAGCAAGCGGAGAACACCACTACAACTTGGCCTATCATCCCTACTACATTAAGGAGTAAGAGGAGGAACTATAATAACGTCACAAGAGGAGGATCTACTGCGACGATCATAGCCAATTGGGCCTCTGCAGGAGGAACATCGGACGATACATATTTGGACGAATTGAAACCGTCCGATGTCTTGCTCTGACAGCTATTTCATTATTCGAAAGATTTCACTGCGGCAGGAGATAATGTGGGATTCATACCACTAATTAGCATGTTGTCTCCATTTCTTTTCGGTATTTCGATACTTCCTGCCATAAGGATATGGCCTTTCTCTGTTTCAATCCTCCACACTTGATATACCTTTCTAATTAGGCCTTAGCGCGCCTCTCTCCACACATATATGCCTATATACTACATAGATTAAATCAATTTTGTAGTGGTGGAAGTAGGTCAAAAACGCACAGCAAGCGATCAGAGTTCGATTTGACTTAGGGCTAGGGCTAAAATTCCATTTGACTTAGAAAAATGAAAAATCCAACTTCATGAATTTAATTCATGGGCCTTTACTTGTATAAATATAATATAATATTTACTTCTATTATTATAGATCGTTAATTAGATATATTTTTATTTAAGAAAGAAGTATTTATTTAATAATCTAATTATACTACGTAATAAAACGCGATAAGATAAGTTTTAAAATATTTAATATTACTTTATTTCGAGATAAGATTTTAATAGAATAAGATTAAATTAAACTAAGTTTTTCTTAACGAGATAATAAGAATATTTTATTCTTTCTATTAAGCGTATTAATTAAATTAGCTTAAAACTATTATTCTTATAATATTTTTATAATATTCTTTAAATATAATCTTATATATCTTTTAATTATCTTTTTAAATTAGATCTTATACTTTAATTTAAATTATAATACTATAACAAGTAAAGGCCCATGAATTAAATTCATGGAGTTGGATTTTTCTAAGTTAAATCGAACTCTGATCGCTTGCTGTGCGTTTTTGACCTACTTCCACTACTATAAAATTGATTTAATCTATGTAGTATACAGGCACATATGTGCGGAGAGAGGCGCGCTAAGGCCTAATTAGGAAGGTGTAATAATTGCCTATAAAAAACAGAGAAAGACCATGTCCTTATGGCAAGAAGTATCGAAATACCGGAAAGAAATGGAGATAACGTGCCAATTAGTGGTGTGAATCCCACAATATCTCCTGCCGCAGTGAAATTTTTCGAATAATGAAATAGCTGTAGACATCGGACGGTTTCAATTCGTCCAAATATACATCGTTCCGGAGTGATGATTTGATGTGGAACCGTGGAGAGCATATGACGTGGGATCTTGGAGAGCTGAGCCGTGTTCTTGACGATGGTGGCCTTGTTGCCGCTTGGTTTCTCCGCAGTGTTCTCCGCATTTGCCTGTTGTAGTTCCTCCTCTTACTCCTTAATGTAGTGGGGATGACAGGCTAAGTTGCAGTGGTGTTCTCCGCTTGCTGAGTGATGATTTGATGTGGAACCGTGGAGAGCTGAGCCGTGTTCTTGGTGCTGGGGGCCTTGTTGCCGCTTAGTTTCTCCGCAGTGTTCTCCATAGTGTTCTCCGCAGTGTTCTCCGCATTTGCCTATTGTAGTTCCTCCTCTTACTCCTTAATGTAGTGGGGATGACAGGCTAAGTTGCAGTGGTGTTCTCCGCTTGCTGAGTGATGATTTGATATGGAATCGTGGAGAGCATATGACGTGGGATTTTGGAGAGCTGAGCCGTATTCTTGGTGCTGGGGGCCTTGTTGCCGCTTGGTTTCTCCGTAGTGTTCTCCGCATTCGCCTGCTGTATTGACTTCTCTTGCACTGGCTGAGTGGATTGGTGTGAGACCGTGGAGAGTAGGCCTGTTGTGTCACTGCTGCTGATGACTATCTCCGCAATATTCTCCGTAGAGTTCTCCGCATTCGCCTGTTGTAGATCCTCCTCTTGTTTAACTGAGTGCGAGGGTACCGAGGGTAAATGTGTTCATATTAGTGGAATTGGTAGAATTGGTAGAATAGTGGAAGAAGAATAATTACACAAATAGGTGGAAGGATTATTATCCGATCCCGGACGCGTCTGGTGTGATTATCATATTTTTAGGAGCTTCTTCTTGACGATATTTAGGATCTAACACGCGTTGAGAGGCTTCAAAACAGGGTGATAAAGAACGGATAGGGGAGGAAGACGCGTCTTGGGAGGTAGCATCGCTGGGTTGGAAGGCACCATCGCTGGCTTGAGAGGAGTATATAGGGGAGGACGTGTTGGGCTCGCTTGCGGCCTCGATTGCCAGCAGTAGCGGATTCGCCGAGGGGTGGCCTAGGGGCGTCAGTAGGGGCTCTAAGAGGCGGGCAAAGGGGTGTACGTGCCTTAGACGTTGAGTAACCTTTGGGCGAGGGGTACCGAAGACGATTGTGTTCATATTGATGGAATTGGTAGAATTGGTAGAATGGTGGAAGAAGAATGGTTACACAAACAGGTGGAAGGATTATTATCCGATCCCGGACGCGTCTGGTGTGACTACCATGACTACCATATTTGAATATCCATTTAATCCACCAATAGTAGGCCAAACTTTATTATTTTTACAGCGTTAGAAAGCGCAAAGCGAGCTCTACAATTTGAGGAATTATGAAGTAACTGTATGTATCGCAAGCTGAGTACTTCAAAGTGTAAAACTTCTACACACAAATTTTTGATGAGGAGGCGCGGGAGGGCTACCGGGCTGACTCAGCCGGTCTAACCAAAAAGCGTACAGGACCCGAATTGATGATTGGCTGCACATACAAATTCAAGGTTTCCAAGCTCAGCCCTACCTTATTCTTTTATATATACTGATATTATACTTTATACTTTATTTTATTTAGAATTTAATATATAATATTAAAGTCTAAAGAGATTATTTAGAAATATTCAAAGTTTATTAAAATAACGAGATATATTTTAAAATCTCGCTTCGAGATTAGCATAGATCCGGAGTTTTAAGAAAGCTCGAAATCTCGACTGAAAGTTGTAGTGCGGCCGCGCCAGACCTCCAGGCAGATGTCGTGCCAGTGTTTGATGCAGGAGTTGCCTTTCCGGGCAGCAATGAAGCCGTTAAACATGGCGTTTCGCTCGGCGCTAAACGCGATCCTAAATCCGGCCATTTCAAATGGTTGGGTGGGATCCGCAAGCATCTTCCAGCAGAGATCGTCCAGACTTCGGAAGAGGAGAAATCCAACGTCGAGCCAGACGCCGCCATAAAGGTAAAGCAGCGGCAGGCGCACCAGATCGGCGGTATGAGGTCCGACGTGTGGACCGGCCAGTTTCTGCTGATTGAAGACTTCAGGGAAGAATGAGTCGTCGACGTACTTCGAGATGTGGACCGGAGATCCTTCGACACAGTCCAACACGCGGACGGTCCATGATGGTGCGAGTCGGCGAACCCAGCTGACAACGTTACGTTGGCACCAGGCCGGACAGTTTGAAAGACCTCTGTTCCAGAAGGCCCAAACGTTCCTTTCAGAGCCGATCACCGGCTGGAGTTCTAAAAGTTGAGCGATGATTCCAGCGTCAGACATGAGTGCGAGAGAAGGAGACTTTGAATTTTCAATTGGCATTGAGCTATCCATGGTGGTGGGAGGGCACATGGTTAGTCTGTATCTGAAGCCCTCGTCTACAAGCGTAGTTATATTTCGTTTTCGACTACCACAACTTCGGCTAAGAGATCACTAAATACTGAATTAGTGAGACTACATACATTTGCATTCGCAGTCGTAAATTGCTCGTCAATCCACCAGACCAAAAAGGTGGTCGCCACTTTAACCTGTGTAATTTGCTTCTTGTTCTCTCAACGTAAACATCACTGGCAGTAAGGCTGAAAAGTCGATATTCACATGACATACCATATACTAGCCTGTAAAGCAGGAACTTTTGTTCAGGTGGACACGCAATACCTCATGAGCAAAACCCTACAATTGAAGCAACTCGAAGTCAGCTGATTTTCTTATGTGAGATACAGCATACACATGTCAAGTTTCAAGTAAGGAGCTCATTCATATCAACTAATAGGATTGGCGCGCTGTAGAGTCACAGCTGCACCATTTGACCACTCCCCACATAGGCAGCACGCTGTCAACAGACAAGTGGCTCACTAGGAGCGGCTTCTAGTGCTATCCATCCGTCCATTCATGCATGCAGTGTGACATGCATGATAAAGCAACCCGCGTGAGATCAAAAGTGTCAACTTACCTCTGTCCCGTTTTAGCTTCTTCAGCCAATGGATCCAAACTGCTTTTTTATAAACTAAACCGAAACCGAAACCGATATCGAGAGCGAGACAGCCTTCCAGCTGACCCCCGCCTTCTCATTACGGCTCCTTTTCAGGTCGTACCGTTAATAGCGCCGCTTTTAACAGGAGTGCTAGCGATGAATGCATGCTCGGCTCCGCCTGATGAGGGTCTGCTGAGATTGTTTCGATCTTTTCCATCGTAAGTGTCGTGGTGACAAGAAATCATAGAGGTTTCAGGTGTAAGTAGCATTCGTCGAGACTCAATGAAGGCTTGCTCTGTGACAGAGTTGCAAAGTAGATTACACACGCGGCGTGGTAACTAACAGATCAGAAAGGATTCCCATATTTGTTACCAATTTGTGTAGCAAATCAAACAGCCTAAGGTAAACATAATCCTGCAATGGGGAACCTGCGCATAGAATAGTCGCTTCGACCCGTCATTCCCTGTAGGTCGAGACATAGCCACCAGGCTCTAGCTAGATTGTCTTTCTATATCTGCCTCACATGTTAGTGTACGGATTGAAATGGGTGGAGAAGAGACATTCGGGCTGAACAGGCTTCCATGGGTGCCATGTCAGCTGGTTCTATGCGCTTTCTTGATGCAAAATGATGCAGGAGTTGTTTGGGTCGGATTTTTTTTTTCGCAATGAGATGATCCAATCAGAAGTGACAGCTGGGGCGATACAATACAATACATGCTCCGTAAAGTACATGAAGTCAACGTTCATGACAGATCAAACCTATGAGACTTGTCGATGCAAGGGGTTTCAGCCTTTCTCATTGCTTATGAGCCTATAAGATAAAGGACAACACAAGTCCAAGGATGAATACCACCTAAACAAGGCAGATCCGCAGAGTCTTCCTGCATGGCAACGGAGAAGTTGCGCAAAGGTTTCTCCCATTTATCAGCAAAAGTATCATATTGACATTGCATGAGCTGAAAGTAGGAGGTACAGTAGTGGTGGTAGTATATGGACTAATGCACCGGCACCTCGGGAACCTTAAAGAGGGTGTGACATTTGGCGCCCGGAACTAAACTACGCCCTGAAAACCTGCTTTACTTTTCCTGTACAACAGTACGGACCAAGATACTTATCACCTTCCCTGCAAGGCTGAGCTCTGCAAGGCTGATCGGAGATAATTTCTCGAAGGGTCGACCGCAGCGGTGTAATCTTTGGATATCATCTGTCTTCCACGCTTTTACAGGTGGGCATGTGTCTAAAAATACGTATGCTGTACATGAGGGAATTTCCAAGCCTGGTAATCATCCCCATAATTTTCTCCCTTCTGTTTCAAAATCCACTTAACCACTGCGCATAATTCTACTTGATCTACCGAATCGCATTCTCTCACATCTATCAAAGATAGCGTACCCTTCCACGTATCCGTTCTCATTGCCTCGCGGTAGCATGAGGCGTGGAGTAGTGTCTTTTAGCCTTGTCCTATAGCATGAGCAACTGGTCATTGCCAGCACAACGAGACTGTCTTGTCGTAGGAGTCAAAGTGCTGATCAGCTATGTCACCCTAGTGCAGAATCTTGAGCCCAGAATTTGAGACAGAGTTTCGCGCCTTCGCTTCTTTATTATCTCATTCAATCTTTAACCTCCGATATTGAAATACTTAACAGAGGGGGAGGAAACCCCGTCTTCTCGAATAAACTCGATGGACATGATGCTCATCCTCACCCCTGAACCGGTCCTCTCCATCCTCCGCGATAACTTGCACATCCTACTCGCTCTTGTGGCAGTCTTGCCCACGCTGGTGCTCGTACGGACATGGTTCAAGGCGATATCGCTTGCTGTGGAATTGTTCGGCAGACCACGTCAGTCTTTCGCTCATGGATCTTTTCGCCTTGTGTCTCAGCAACAGCAGAATTGACGTGCAGATAGGCTCGCCGTTTCCATACCACTAGTCACCGGAAGACATTTTACCAGCAGCGGCATGTTGTGAGTGATCTCACTACTCTCGGATAGGGGATACCTCAAGTAACGTGTTACGGCTTTCATCACAGATTTTAGGAAGAAGTGCCGCGTCGGAAAATTGATGGAGATATGTCGGGGTGAGCCCTGTGCAGAAAGCCAGAGTCGGTTTGAGATTTTTGCACACACGATCATAATAGTAGGAGTATATAGTCAAATGATTAAAGAGGTTTGATGATGAGAGCGTGGTACCGCGGATGACTCTCTTCTTTTGTTCTCTCTTCTTTGTTTTCATTCTATATAGTGTGGTCTACTGTTTATTAGCAGAAGATCATCAAGTCAGTCTCCACTCGTCGTACAAAATCCTAGAACGCTATTGTTCCTAAAAAGGCTAGATTTACAGTTGTATCAGAAATTCGCAGCGCATGCTCCACCGGCCGTTCCGAGATCATTTTTTGATATGACCATACTAGGATTCACTCAACAGTTTAAATATAAGCGGTTTTGTTTACGATACGGAAGACTTTATTTTCGCAAGATTAGAAGGAAATTGCCGTTCAAAGTGTTCAGCGACACAAATAGACTTCGCAGACAATGATTTGACTTGTGACTTTTTATCGTGGCTCCAAGCCAGGGTACTGCCTTGGACTAGCGCTAAATTCTTGTCCAGCTCGAATAGCTGCCCGGTCACCCTTTCCAGCGTCCTTCAATAGACAAAGTTCTATCCTGGAGGTCAAGTATTTGAAGCTCCTTGGCTCGATATAATGTTCACAAATCCCGAGTACAGCTTCATCCCTAGACAAAAATTGATGTATTGCAGACGACCGAGAACCTGACGACGATGAGGACGATGAAATCCTATCCATGATGCCATGCCTCACACATCGATCAAGAACCTGTGTCTGATGAGCGGGCCTGAGCTCCGCCAGACTAAGGCAAGTTGTCATAGCGTACTATCTATGACCAGATTGAGATCCTAGATATGTTCCAGATGGGTGTGTAGAGTCTTTTTTGGTCGAACGGAAGATGCTCAACATATCCCAGTATCCGGGTCGAGTTGCTGGCTCGCCAACGGTAGCTTGCTCTGGGGCCTCTGGCTTATGCGCCGGAAGTTGAGATGTCTGGTGAGAAGGTGCATCTCCCGAGGAACTCTCGGGCTCGCTCACTTGGTTGGAAAGTTCTCCCATCTCGTAGTAATCACGCCTTGTTGGGCCGGAGTTGTCTATAATTGTCTCTCTCCTGGTAAGTGCTGTCGGAGATCTGTTGCCCCAGATCCTTGAGAACCTTCCTGATTTGAGAAATTTTCCCTCCCTATCTTGAACTTAGCAGTTTTCTCCACTGTATATGAACAGAGAAGATCTAAGTATCAAGGGGCGACAAAGGAAGGATCAATTTACCCCTTGATTGACCCCAGAACCTCTGTGTCTACTTGGAGCTTCTGCTGCGTTGGTCTCTTAGACGAAGCAGTCCTGGTATCAGGTGACTGATTTGCATCTCTTTTCTTGAATCTACTCCTGTAACTTAAGCGTAGAAGATGGGTGATACAGGAGAACTGGGGAGAATATCGGCGGAAGAGTGCTGGAAGATGCGGCACTGAGCCACAAATGACACCAGCCGTTGCTTCCACGACACTTTAATACTTTATGTCAGCATTGGACCATACTTCACACAATGCATTAGCCAGAAGGTACGGGAAGATGAGAACGCTTACGCCATCCCTGAAGCCGGAGGTTCATTCCAAGTAAGATCCGAATTTACCGACTCGGGAATACGGAAATACAGACCAATGGAGCTGGCGGCAATCGCACTGGATCCTCCATTAGCACATGCTATAGCATGAACTTGTCGGTCCATTCCATGAATATATCAGGGCAGGATGGGCAAAGCCTTACATCAATCCTGTAAAGAATACCGCAGTAATTCCTAATTTCTTCTTGAGTGACATCTGTAGCCTGAACAGGACTGGAAGTGGTAGAATGAAGATATATATATCTGATAACAGACCAAAGATGCCTTGGATAACGCCCGTGACTTCTGCGCGATAGCATCGAGCTGCGTATGTCGGTGATGCCCAATTCTCTCTTTGCCTAGGAATGCAAAGAATGACAAGGGTAATACACGATGCGAGATAGAAGAGACCGTTCAAAGCGACACCGAAGTAGATCGCGATCCTTGTCCAGCGGTTGAGGGCGAAGAGGCGGTGGTATAGAAGGAACAAGGCCAATTTGGCAAAGAACATGTTCAGAGAATAGAGAATTGCACCTGATCCAAGAACTTGCACCTTTTACGTTTTCTTTTCAGACAGAGTTCTTCAAGTATCGAGGGAACTGACCTTGGCTACGTCGGACGTAAGCAATATGGCTCGGACGTCCCACTCATGTGGCCCAAAAACCTTGTCATGTATACACCATATCGCGGACGCTGCGAAAGCTGTATTGCCTACCTAGTGGGTGTCAGAGCTACCGTTGTCAATTTTGCAATAAAGACGGTGCATACTGCAGCAAGCAAGGCGGATGCTACGCTGGCATGTAAGCAAAGGTATGGAGAATAGAATCCCGAGCTCCTACCATCATCCCACCCAAATTTACGAATCACCCACACTTTGCTGTAAAGCCTCAATATGAGTATTGGCCACATGAGGCCAATGAAGACGGAACAGAGGATGACAATGGTGGGCCCTCGAGATTCAGGATCAGTAAAATTTGACGTTTGCCCCGCTGGAGGAGGTTGAAGAGGGTAGTTTTCGAAAGCAGCTTCCTCTGCAGGTGAAGTCATGTTATCTGCCTGGAATAGTCTTCAGTAGATTCTCGCAAGAACCTTGGGAACTTACAACATAAAGTGAAGGTGCAAGCTCTTAAAGAACTTCCATGGAAGTACTAAGGGCGATGTCCGATGACAGCTGGTGAAAGCATTCCCAGGATCCTGCAAGCCTCGTGTAGCCTTACGACGCAATAATAGGAAGCTGACGATGAATGCTGATCATTAACCTGACACGCTGACGTTAGTGGAAAGTCATGACACTCGGTCCCGTAGTATGTGTGTAGACCACGAGTACCGATGCTAGAGTGCTTTACGAAAGCAGTAATCTCCATGAAACGGGCGTATCGATCCGATAGAATTGCACGTCGCGATTTTTTGACTCCATTTTCGTTTTGCCCTCGCTTACCATACGCAAATGGTTGGAGCGGCTCTACCTTGTTGAGCCATGTAATCAGCGTCGAATATGCAGTATATGAGCATCGTCTAGACTGCAGCGGAGTTTGAATGTGCTATGTGCTGGAATGCGCAGCGTCTGACTGCAGCCGAAGCCCATTGATATGATAGTACGGGCATTTCTGCCCCTCACATGGTTTGTGTAACGGCACTACTGCAAGTAAGATGAAGTGAGCAGGCGTAGGGTATGGATTAGGCATCTCTTTAATGTCGTTTTGTAGCCTTACGCCTTGCCGGAAGAGTCCGGGGGTCGCAGATCTTAGGTATCCAGCTCCGCAACCGTGCCGATCCGAATACCCGTTTTCCTACTCTTAATTGGACCCGAATGGATGCTAAGACTGCGCCAATAGTGTGAATGATACAAATTCAATAATACACAGCCTGGTACGAGGAAATACCAAATCGTGCCCCACATTGTACTCGACCTACCTTACCTCCAATTAGTTTAGCCGCTATGGCGCTTATATCTTTATGAACAACTAGTGGGCGTTGACATGAACATGCAAATGTACATTAATATCCAGCCTCACCTTGATTTGGCTCCAGGAAGGCCCCTTTTTCCCGCCTCCACTACATCCTTTCAACGAGCCAGAGACTAACGTCCAGGTCAATGCCGAGAAGCTCCTGTCAGTACCCTTTATGCGTCCACTCCTGAAAATTCACCTCTGACATTCATCGTCTAAACTTACACTGCCAGCGAATGCAGGCATAGCCGCATGAGGACGTTAGGCACGGTCATGGACGAGGTATAAGGCTAACCCTTGCTTTTTTATCTCTGTTCAAAAGTTGGCAATCGTTGAAAGCGCGTGGAGACTGGCTCCGGACGAGGTGGGCTCACGAGGTAGCAGGGGCATCATGACTATCACAATTGTCATACTGAAACTTGACCGTAGTGCCCCTTACCAAGATTCTGTAAGGCGAATTAGGTGCACATTAGCTGATGAATACATGCTACTCTGGAGTACATGAATGCCTGAAATCTAGATGTACTCTGTCGTGGAAAAGCGGCTTTATATCCGAGATTCACCTCATGCAGATGGACAAGTGAAACTGATCAAAGCCTTCGGAGTTCTCAAATGCTATGAGGCGCAGAGGTGCAGAAGAAGAATCCAGACTGGAGCGCCTCCAGTCCGTGTCGAATGCCGGCCAGGAATTGTTCAGCGTGTGGAAGGCGGCTCTTTAGTGCTTACCTTGTCCTTGAGCAGCCTTGTTCGAGCTTCTTTGTGATATCTCTATGACGGTATCATGCAGTTCGAAAGCCGCTCACTATCAGCTCCGCACACTGCTTCAACAGCACCTCAAGAGTACATCCTTAGTTCTCCTATGGAATCTTACCGCTTAGTCGAAATGCATGCACTGCCGTACGAGGGTTGCCAGCCAGGCTCCTTGTGAGTTGATATCCGTAAAAAGGACAGAGCGGCTTTGAAATTGACGGCTTTGATCGTGCCCTATTTGGTCTGCTCATCAAACATGACGGCATCTCGTGCGGCCGTGACTAACACGGACATCCAGGAGCTGAATGCTTTAGCAACAAGATCTACGATTCCAGCGGCATTTCTGTCATCTGTGCCTTAAAGGCTACCGTGCCTAGCAATTTTCCTTTCTTGTTATAAAAAGGTAGCCTTTACGGTGCATCTTTAGCTTTTCGCTCGCTCGACTCTCAGTCATGATTTTACCAACAGTGTCAGTGTTCGCTGGATCCCTTCTGCGTGCAACGCACCATTTTGTTGTTTATCTGCTTGCCAAATGGATGTGGCTCCTCTTAGTCTTCTTGATTGGCCACTTTCGCCGCTCCATAACGTCTTATATCTTCAGCCGTCCCGAAAAGACAATGATAACAGGAATGCCTACCGTTTTCGGTCAGTGGCTCACAAGTCTGTCATATCACATTGTTTCATCGCAGATCGTTCGTAACGGTTACATCAAAGTATGGTTCCAGCTCTGGAGCACCATTGCTATGCTGCTATGAACTGACTCTTGCCGTAGGCTGGCGGAAAGCTGTTTGCCGTTCCGACCTTGGACAAATACCATATTTTTGTTTCCAATCGCGAGCAGATCGAAGAAGTCGCCAACGCACCAATCACTCAGCTCTCGTTCACTGCTGCAATTGATGAGGTTAGAGAGAAATTTCCTCGGCTTTGGTGATAGGCCATAGCTAAGATGTTGCTGTGATAGATTCTTCATCCTCACCTTGTCTTCAGCGGTTTCAAGTTCGACCCCAAGGATCCTCACTATGTGGTGCCCCTCCACGCCTTGAAAATATCGCTCAGAGAAAATCTACAATCTTTGATTCCCGTCTTGCAGGAGAGGCTAGACTTGGCGTTCGAGGCAGCTTTTCCAGCTGGGAAATGTGCCGACAGTAGATCTCGCCTTCATAATGAGAACAATTTTAATACTTACTAACGCATGCAGGATGGCTACCATTTTCACCACACAAGACATGCCAGACTATGGTTGAAACATTGAACAACATAGTACTCGTTGGCCAAGATCTTGGTATGACCTCTTTTTGACCAGAGGAGTCTCCAAGCTAATCGTCTCAAGCAAATGATCAATCGTATCTCGAAACCGCGATGAGGTACACGCGCGACGTCATGATCACGGGGGAGATTCTACGGTTCACGCCTCCTGGCCTACAGACGTGAGCATCAAACAAGGCACCTTAGGTACCAGTAGCTCACCATCGTAGACCGATCGGATGGCTTGCCATGACTTGCTCCGGTGCCAAGGCGGTGGTGTATGAGAGGGTGACTTCTGCAATACGGGACCGAATGGATCATCCTCGAAAAGATCAAGAGAAGCCAGTCAGTACACAGGTGCATATTGAGCAAATTCGTAACTAAAAATCCAACAGCGTGACTTTCTACAATGGACAATCGATGGAACAAGAAAGAAGTCTCCGCAAACAGTCAACAAATTGGCACAGCATGCAATGGGTTTGCTATTCGGCGGTGCTATTCAACTTTCCATGGTATGTAGCCTGAGATTACAGCCATACGGTACTAAAATCCAGCAGATAACCAGCTTTGCTCTCTATAACCTTTGCAAGCATCCCGAATACCTCGGGCCTCTTAGAGAGGAAGCCGCAGCGGCAAAGCGAAACAAAGATCAGCCATTTGACCACGACCAAATGTATCTAATGGATAGCTTCCTCCGAGAAACAGGCCGACTCAACCCTACCATGATCTGTGAGTCTTGAATTTCCGAAGCCGGCTTCCAAATTTTTTACCTAAAAACCCCAGTGACGATGCCGCGAAAAGTGCTCGCTCCCTTCGAGTTCGCCGACGGGACTACCGTCCCCGTTAATAACTGGATAGTCGTGCCCCAGGAAGCGCTCATGCAGGACAAAGCCCACTACGACGACCCACAGACCTTCAACGGCTTTCGATTCGTCGACTCCACTGGCAAAATGCACCCCTCGGCTCGCTTCTCGAGTCCCAGCCTGACTTATACTCTCTGGGGAGGGCCTAAAACAGCTTGGTGAGCTCCTTCACTTTTTCCACTTCCCCTTCGTGTCCCTCTTCATAACGCCGACCAACAATAATAACACCACAAATTATCTTCTAACGCCAGGGTCCTTCCTTTGTAGTCCAGGTAGATTCTACGCCTCGGTGGTCGCGAAGATGATTCTTGCGGATTTCATCCTCAATTATGACATCAAGTTGGCGGATCCGAGCGCTCCGCGATTCATGAAATGGAGTTATACGTCTATACCGCATCCATTGACACGGCTACTCATTCGAAATAGGAATAGCTGCTAGGAGATATGTCATCAGGTTCTATGAGGAAGTCGGAACTGACTGCAAAGCCTTTCTCTGAGTGTGTTGCGCTTTATTGGTAGAGACGGCGGCTGCAGGCCTATAGGAGACTCTGATGAAGAATTATGTTGGTCGCGAACCATGTAGACACTAAATTTGTTGACTTTCGGAGTTGTGATTATGGTATTTTCCATCGCAGTAGAATGTGCCTAAGTATAAATACTGCCTCATTTTCTTATACACTCGATGAAAATATTGGCACACATGGCTCTGACCGAATTGAGAACTTGTCAAGTCTTGCATTAAGTCCTCAAGTAGAGAATTACTGCCTATATAGCTCTGATCTAGTGATCACAGAAAAATCGAATGAAAAGTGTTCCAGTAGGCGTTGGATAGCCCTTGCAAGCGTCTTCATCATCGCGCCGCGAATCTTACTCGGCAAGGGAAGCCATCGGCCGGACGTGTAGTGCCCTTCAAGGCTTGGTATGCCCTCTCTCCATTCACAGTCTTTGATTTGCTCTTTACTTGATCATGACTCTCCACATCATAGCTGGCCGTGACGTAAAATTCTCGCAATGTCATTACCATGACAAGCTTCAGCTCTAGCAATGCGAGTTCCTGGCCAATACAGTTACGTGGTCCAAACTCGAAAGGTCGCCACGCCCCTTTTATTGGATGTAGAGGATCATCATCTGACACGAGCCATCGTTCAGGAACGAAAGAATCCGGCCATGGCCAATACTCTGGCTCACGATGCATGGCTTGATGCGTACACCAGATAGTGAAGCCTTCAGTTGGGTATTGATGGCCTTCTTGTGTCAATGAGAACCCTGGCTCTCCATCACGTGTGCTGGAAGCCACTGGAAAGAGTCTCAGGGTTTCCTTGATGACAGCGAGAGTGTAATCTAGCCGGTTGAGGGAATGTGGATTTGCCGTGATCTTAGCTTTCGCTTGTGTGATATCAGAGCCAAAAACTTCATCATGCTCTGCTCGTACACGGTGCATGGCCACGGGATTGGACGATAGTAAGTGAAAAATGTAGCAAAGGGTAGAACTTGTCGTGTCGTGCCCAGCAAGGATGAACACCTTCATCTGACTTATAGCTAGTCTTTCAAATTCTGCGTCCATGCTACGAACAGCAGGTGACACTTGCTGTTGATCAAGGTATTTGTCCAGCGCAAGATCCATCACAGTCTGGAATCCACAATCTTCAGCTCCTACTGGGCCATTAATGCGATGCGCCGCGAAGCGTTCCCTAAGTTGACGGCTTAGATAGCGATCCATAAGCTGAACGTAATACCATTGGAAGAAAGGGCGAAACGGATTCCATCGGACCAAAGGGTTCATTTCGGTCCCATATAGGTTCCACGGGATCTGAGCACGGAGTGCGGAAACGAACTCATTGCTCGACCTTTGGGCGTGAAAAGATTTACCCCTGAATCATTAGTAATTGAAGTTGAGGCTTGAGTAATATCTTACAACACAATTCGTCCGATAGTATCCATTGTCAGGTTCACGGTGGCTTCTTCGAGCGGGATGATAGCCCCTGATTGCGCACGCTCCTTCAAGATATCGCAGAAAACTGAGACTTCTTTTGCTATCTGAGGCATCAGGGATACAAGATGGCTCGCACTGAAGCCCGGATTATACACATTACGCCATTTTTTCCATCTGTGGCCTTCCAAGCTCACCAGGTCTTGGTTGTTGGCGAATGGCTTCATCCATCTGTGAACTTCTGGTGATTTGCGTAGCGGATGCTCCTGAGTGAACTGGTATGCTACAGATGGTGAAGATACGATGAGAATAGGACGATTGAAAGGCCACATGTCGAGATAGAAGACTTGACCGACATCGGGGATGGCTCGTCGTATCAGCCCGGGCAAATACGAAGGATGTGCGCCTGGGGGGAGTTTGGATAGAAGGTCGTTGGCAAGGAGCAGATGGCCAAATATTGGATGATGCGGTGGCATCGACTATGGTCTCTCAGTACCTTGTTCCTCGGCTCTAGAAGATATGCCAATCTTGGGAGATGTGACTTACCAGGCCTTTCTTTCTCAATTCGATGAATCTGACACGAGCATTGTAGAGCTTGACCACAAAAATGGCCAAAAGACTGAGGCATGCAATCAGTAGTGCTTGCTGAAGGTACGGAAAGCTCCCCATTTGATTCTGAAGTTGCATGTTGTCATCTAGGTCATCATCGCGTTCAATAGACAGTTCCAATGGGGTTTGAGGTTTAGCTTTTGTACGTGCAACACAAGGAGCACAAAATGAAGAGAAGGTGGTGCTATTATGGGCAGGGTTGGAGACAGGTTTCACTTGAAGCGCTAAAAAGTAGGCTAAAGTATCTTACGGTACGTAAGCACGTAATATACCTAGATCCGGTTGCGCAGCCTTATACTATGTTGAGTGATCATCCATCATAAGCCGAGGCGTGCAGCATGGAATCCGTCTGAGTGCAGCAATCATCTTTCTCCTTTATCTAGCGCGCTGAAGCACGCCAATCAAATCGAGCTGGTTGACAGCCTCACCTTCTCCAGCCGTGAATTGCGGTGTGGGTATTTCCCATTCTCAACACGATAGCCAGAAATCGCGCAATAAATTGGCAAGAATTCCGTTGATATCATCTGTAAGTGGACACTTCTGATGCATGCGACAACGGCTACCTACACTATTGGAGTCTCTGGGAATACTCCCAGAACAGGATTCTGCACATACAGGCTGCATGGCAGTACAACCCTTCCACATAAGTGTCTACTGCTTTATTTGGCCTCGTGAAAACCATTGGCTACTACCAGATGGATTCCACAGCCTCGTATGAGCACTGAAGTCGGGCGCTCGCAGACTTCAATGTGCAGGCTTCGACCAGAAGGATCAGAGATGACACCTATTCGTATGTACCCGGAAGTGCCCGATACTTGTTGTTTTTTTTTTTTAAAATTTTTTTTTTCCGGCCCAACAAAAAAAATTATTTTTTTTTTTTTTTTTTTTATTTTTTTTTTAAAAAAAGATGTTTTTCTATATTGAGGCTATATAATATAATATAATATTAAAAAAAACGAGTACGAAGATCGATATTAAAAGTTCTAGATAGCGCTAAAATACTTAATACTCTTAATATTCTTAGTACTTTCTATATAGTTATATTTATTTAACGATAATACTTTATATAATTACGTATATACTTATTAACTTACTCGACGAAGTCGTATAATTATATATTATCTCTCTTACGATCTTTTCTATACTCGTTATTATCTTTAAAATATATTATCTTTATAATATATCTCGATATTCGCTCTATTTACTTCTAAATTCTCTTTTAAATAAACTTATAATTTTAATAATATAGCTATTATCTTTCGACTTTCTTATAAATTCTTAATATATCTATTTAAATAGTATAATATTATATTTATAATTAATAAGACTTAATAAGTATTTAAATTCGAGTCTTATTATTATAATTAATACTTTAAATATTAGATATATTAATAAAAGATAATTAAGATAGAGAATAATAAGAAGATTTCTATTTATTATATTTATACTATATAAATAAGACTTATATATTAAAAGTCTTTATACTCTTTCTCTATTTCTTTATATTATAATTAATACTTTAATATTATTACTATTATATATTCTATTAATATCGCTATTATATATATACTTCTTATATTTTTACTTCGTATATATATACTTTATATATATATACTATATCGCTATTATATAAAGTATTAATACTTATTAAAATAAAGAATAATAATATTATTTATGAAATTTGAAAGTATATTAAGTACTTAGCTCTATTTAAACTCTTATCTTAATATATCTAGAACTTTTAATATCGACCTTCGTTATAAGATAGTAAGATCTCTTTTAATAAAACTGCGTAGTAGCTATATAATTACGAGATCTAGATATGTAGTTAATAGAATAGATAGATTAGTTATTAGATAAACTAATAACTAAAAAAAGGGAAGAAGAAAAAGAAAACTCGTAAGTATTTAAGACTTTATTAAGTATATTAGATACTTATTTTAACTATATAATTTATAGCTTAATAAATAATATAAGCGAGTTTATTAGTTCGCTTTAAGTACTTTTATTCTTATAACTATATCTCTTCTTAGAAGATTTAATCTCTAAATTTTATTATTATTATATCTTATAATTAAATATATATAAATTTATTAATATTATTTACGCTATTTATTATTAGCTTAAATATAATTTAAACTAATATATATTATAATAGCGTATTTATATTATATACTCTAAGGTCTTCTTAAGTATATTATTATATTTATATACTAAATCGCGATAGTATCGCTATATATATTATTATTTTAAATAATAGAATATAGACGTATAGTATTATTTTATTGCGACGATATACTATTATCGTTATTACTATAGATATATTATTATATTATTACTTTATAATCGTAATAATTTTATTATAATAATTATTAAAAGTCGCGTTAGTAAGTATAAAAGACTTACTTTTAATCTAACTTTTATTCTTTTTAGTAATAATATTAATATCGACGCTATTATAAGTAAATATTTAATTCTTCTTTATATATACTATCTTATTTTTATTTATTCTTATTATAATATCGCGATAGCGAGTTATATATTATTATAATAGTATAATATATATATTAATTAAGATAATAATTAAATAAGATTATAATTATTTAGATTAACTTTATATATAATAAGTATCTTAAAAAATACTTTATAATACTTTATAAATAGTATAAGAAGTATATTAATATATCGATAGTAATATTAAATCTTCGCTTTTATAGTTCTATAGAGTTATTAAATACTTATAGCCGTTATAATCTCTACGCCTCTACGCTATTATTAATAGATATTTATATTTATTTTAAAGATATACTTAGCTAAGAAGGCTATTAGCCTTTTTTATCGCTACTCTTAACTAGACTATATCGTTTATATCATAGAAATAAAAGAGATATTAGATAATTAAGAGATTACGCTAATATATACTAATTTCCTTTTACTATTATTATATATATACTCTTATATATAACTCTTATATAATTTATATTATGTTTTCTACTAGCTTACGCTAATATAAATATAAGTAGTACTTTTATAGAGATTATATATATATTATAAACTCGATCTCTATCTACTAGATTAATATTCTCGCTATAATTTATATTAATAAAAATATTTATATTATTTTTTGTCGTTAAAATAATATAAATTTTATTAATATATATTAGAGTATGTAGCTAATATATATAATAGCTTATTATATCGAGGAACTTCGATATAATATCGCTATCTTTATCCTCTTCTTCGATTATTTCTCTTACTATCTCTTATATTAAATCTTTTTATTATTTAATAAATTTTTTAGATAAGTAATTACTTTTTAATATAAAATAATAAATTAATTAATATTAAGTAGTATTAGTCTTAGATATAACTTTAATAACTATTTTTCTTATTATATATAATATTTTAACGCTTTAAAATTAAGTTATAAATATTTTAGCTATTTTCGCTAGATCTTTTAATTATAATATATTTACTCTTTAAGACTTCTCTATTACTACTATTTTTATAATCTTTTTTATTTTTTAATCTCCTCTTAATAATTACGCTTTTAACTTTATTTTAAATATTAATTTATATAATTTCTTTACTTATTTAAAATTCTTAATTATATTTTTAATATTTTTAAGATACTTTATTAATTTCTATAAAGTTTTATAAAATAAGAAGTCTTTTTAGTTAATAAGATATTTAGTCTTATCTCTTATAAACTCTTTTATCTAATATCTTATTAATCTCCCACTCTTCTTCTTTATTAATTAAAATTATTTATAATTTTAAATTATTATTATATAAATATTACGACTCTAATAATAATATATAAAATATAAAATAAATTCTTTTATATCTAGTAGAGAGGTCTAGCTTATAAACCTATATATTTATTTTCTCTAATACTTTAAAAGATTTAAATTATCTATAATTAAGTTTTTTCTTTAATCGTATAAGATATATATATTTAAACTTTATAATAATATTTTATCTTTTTTTTAAAAGTTATAATTTTATAATTACTATTAGTAATAGGCCTTTGAATTATAATTCGATAGTGTTGATTTTTTAATTTTTTAAGTTAAATAATCAATTACCCTAGCCCTTAAGTTAAATCGAACTCTAATCGCTCTACTATAGCGTTTTTAACCTTTAAGATTCTATTCTATAAAATTATTTTAATAAATATAATATATATATTTATAGTAAATCTTATAGAGGCGTATTAAGATTTAATTAGAAAGGTGTATTATTAGATATAAAGAATTAATCAATAATTAATAAAAAAATTAGAATAATTATTCTATTTATAATTATAAGAATACTTATCGAAATATCGAAAAGAAATGAAGATAATGTGTTAATTAGTAGTGTGAATCCTATAATATCTCCTATCGCAGTAGAAATCTTTCGAATAATGAAATAGCTATTAGACATCGAACGATTTTAATTCGTTATCGCGAGTAAATATGCATTAGCGTTCGTAATGTATTCTAATCTATAGAAGCCTAATTGACTATAAGTCGTCGCACTAAAATAATCAGCTTCTCTATATAATGTTATTAATGTATTATATAAATGTAATAAGCTAATAATAGGTTAAGTTATAGTGGAGATAATAGACTAAATTATAGTAATATTCTACGCTTACTAAGTAATAATTTAATATGTAAACCTAGAGAGCAGTTATAACGTGGAATCTTAGAGAGCTAAGACGTGTTCTTAATACTAAAGGCCTTATTACCGCTTAGTTTCTATTTATATAGTTATTCTTCGTATTTGCCTTATTATCGTAACTTCTCTTACTTTTAGCTAAATAAATTAATATAAGACTATAAAGAGTAAGTCTATTATATTACTACTATTAATAACTATCTTTAGATATATATTCTTTATTAGTTATCTCTTTATAGCCGTCTACTATCGTAAATTACTCTTAGAATTCTAGCTAAGTAAATTATAATCGAGGTATAAGCTTAAAGAGCTAAGCCGTATTACTACTTATAAACGAGTTAAAAAGCTCTTATTAGAGCTCGAACTAATATTCTCCGTAGTATTCTCCTTCATTTAGCTATTATAGTTTCTTC